AATCTTTTGTTTCATTTTTTCCCCCCGTTGGCCTCACGGCCGACGGTACCCAAATTCTCGACAAAAGAGCAGTTTCCTTTATCCCTGGGTCCCAGGAGGGCACGGAGAGTTGCAGACGGACTAACGCTGGACCTCACTCATCCTCCTCCTTCGCCAGATTATCCCAATTCGTCGGTCACGACGTGACGTCTCCGTTCCCTCCTTCAGGGAACGAGGGTTACCATACGTAACCGAGACGTTTTACTGAAATAATGGATGATCGGATTCGTTGGAGGTTTGGAACTGGAAACATTTTAATAGCTGAAATCAATAAACGGGCCAGCAGCATGACTGTATATGATGATGTTCTTGATGGGAGATTCAGAGACCGACTGAAGCTGGACAATCAAACTGGATCTCTGACCATCACAAACACCACAACTGAACATGCTGGAGATTTTCTTCTACTGATAATTTCATCAGGATTCTCATCAAAAACATTCAGAGTTTCTGTCTATAGTGAGTAGAGATCATTTGTTCTGTCCTTCAAATATTCTTATGTTATTAACTATTTACATATTGAATTGTTGAACTATTTAATATTTTGAGATGATACACTGTATAATATATATGGTATATGGTATATTATATATGGTATCTATATAATACCAAATATTCATTTTTTATTCATATTATGTTTGTTTATTCAGAAATATTAGTTGATGTCGGTGCTGATATTAACATTTATTGACTGAGCTGATCTCAGTTTAATGTTTTTATTCCTCAGACTTGGTCCACTGTTGTGGTTCTACTGAAGCTGTGATCCGATTGGTCCTCTCTGCTCTTGTGGGCGTGGCTACTGTCATTCTTCTGGTTTATGACATCAGATCCAGAAGAGCTCAACAAGATCAAGCACAGATTCACACATCAGGTACATGATTGATGTCATTTCTCATAAAACTGTTTAGTTTATTATTTATTAATCTTCATTTATTTGTAATGGTTTTGTATATTCACATACTTTTATATATGTTTGTTTTAGGTGGCTCATTTCCACACTAGAAGATGATGAACGACTCAGGTTGCTTATGTAACCATGGTTCCCTGAGTAGGGAACGAGACACTGCGTCCTCTAGGGGTCGCTATGGGGAATGCCTCGTCGTGACCCGTGTCTGAAGCATATGTGACAGACTGGGAAAATAAAAGTACCGAGTAATAATGGGAACCCCCAAATATTTTTTTTCCCTCTTTTTCCTCAGATTATTCTTTAAGAGACTCTTTAAAAATGTGTTCTAATGTTACATGAGTTTAAGTGTCTTCTGTAAAATGCCTGTAGGTGGCGCATTACACAAGAGTGATGAGGATTTTACGTTCTGGCCAAAGGGCAAAGCCATTAAAGAAAGTGCCAGAACGCTGCAGATTCTAATCTGTGTCTATCTCATCATTTCCTACAGGTATGTGAAATGGGTTTTATAGACCAATATCTATCGATGCTAATCTGTCTATCTCATCATTTCCTACAGGTATGTAAAATGGGTTTTATAGACCAATATCTATCAATATTGAAACTTAAGAGGTTCAGAGATTATGTTTGTACGGTAAAAGTCATTGTCAAGTTTTAAAAAGATTAGTTTATTTGCGATTCAGTCAATGCAGTTCTAGTGGAATAAACAGCGTTTACAATTCATGAGACTGTTAAAAAGGTGAAGTGCAAGTAAGAGATATGAAACAATCTTGCTATATTCCTTGTGTAATCTTGATAGATTTTCCAGATGGAGCTGGACAATGTGCAATATTGAGTGTAGTCACTTCATTTCGGTTATGTGGAAAAGTTGAAACATAAAATGGTGGTTTTCTCTAAAATGTACACTCGTAAGGGTTAAAAACATCATGTATACCTGCATCAATTAAGACTGTTGATGCTCACTAATTGTTTATTCCATCAAATTGATTGTGTTGTAGCATTGTAGTGATTCTGATTTCTCTTTGTATAGAATTTCACTATATCTAAAATAGAAAAAAGTGAAACATTAAAGACAAATGAAAGTGAGTGAACACATAAAGTGATGGTAAGAGACAAGACACGTGTTTAGTTGTATCCAGATGTTTATTGTTGCTTAAAATGTACAACCAAAGAGAAATGTTCAAATGTATTACATTTACAGACTTAAGGGACATAAATTTAAATGCTGTGAATTTAATTGTCCAGAAAGCATGACCGCTAAGGAACATTGTTAAAAGTTATGATTTCAAAAGTGTTATACTTGCCTGTTATTTGCAAGAAGAGAAAAAAAAGAAGAAAAAGAAGAAAAAGCCATTAAAGAAAGTGCCAGAATGCTGCAGATTCTAATCTGTGTCTATCTCATAATTTCCTACAGTTACTTGCTCTCATCCTTCCCTGTTTGAGACCGGTAACAAATACAGAAAAACAATGGTAGCTTCCCCCTTTCCTCGAAAAGAGAGACAAACGAAAGCGGATCTTTTCATTAAAATACGCTCACAATGAACGCGGATTGCCCCCTCAAGGACATCGCGTGCGTGCTCTTTGCCCAAACAAACAACACAGAGATCGTGTGTGTCATCAGGTGTCAAATAACAACAACGCGGATGCACACACCCTCTAAACGCTTTGCTAGTGCTCGCCATAACGATAGGAATATAGATCGCTCTTACCACGGAAATGCACGCTTCAAACAAAACGGTCAGTGAAGACGAAGAAGAGAATGACATGTTCTCCCGGCGCCTATTTATACTATAGTCGCACCGGTAGTGACATCATGGGCTGTCGCCGGCCAACGTGTTGTTGGTGTTTTTTCAATGTATGCTTCAGACACGGGTCACGACGAGGCATTCCCCATAGCGACCCCTAGAGGACACAGTTCATAGTTCCCTTGAAAGGGAACAGCAATGTGTTCTCTTATTAATGCTTAAAAGTAAATGTGAGTGTTTGTCATGACAAATACTGATGATTATCAAATATTGCATTGCTTATGCTAGATTAGTTAATATAACATGCTTTCCTTTCAATGTTTTTTTTTTTTTTTTTTACAATCTAATTGTTCATATTTGATTGGAGACTTTCAAAATCACATCAAATCACACATAAAGCTAGTGTGGTGTCGTTAATATTATTGTATAGATAAGACGTATTTAATACTGAAGCTCTTCTACAGGCTGAAAATGTAAACAATAAAACAAGCACTCTCCTGTCATTTTTTAGTGTCAGATTTTTCAGAAATCCAATTTGAAAGACTTATTGTTCATATTTTCTCAGATCAGACACAGATCTCACTTTACTACTGCTGTCCACTGCTCGCTTCTGTATTTGCTTGCCTTCATCAGTCAATTTTTCCCA